GTGATGTTTGTGTGTCTGTTAGCAAAATACCTCACGAACCACTGGGCAGATTTTAATGAAACCTTCAGGGAGTGATGTTTATATGTTCAACTACAACTGATTAACGTTGGGAGCTAACCAAATACAAGCTGGCTGCTACAGCCGACTACATTTCGAAAACATAAAAACAGCCGTAGCTCAGTCAGTTTCTCTGATATTGAGCTAACATTTGGTGTGGTAGAGGTTGAGTATCATCCTATCACCAGTTAGAACTTCATTTCTTCTTATCATAAGATCATTTTAGTTTAAAATTCTGGCCTAAAACGTGGCTAGTTCATATGCATTCCTTCATGCTAGCAGTTTGATTTTCAAATTAACTTCTTATATGACATTAGAACTACAAAAAAATAAAAGAGGATCTTGCCAGTTTGAGGCAGAAATACCAGGTTTAGCCCATAAAGTGTCATTTTCCTTAAGGAACAGGGTCTGTGAATAAAACTCTTAGCTCAGCGTGGGCAGGAATAATAGTGAGCTTCAATCCTTCATGTTTGATGATGCCTCTAAGAGATACAAAAAATATTTTTTTGTTTCCAATCATAGACATATAACCTTAAGTTTGTTAAAATATAAAAAAAAACACAACTAATTGAACACTTTAAAGCTCCGCCAGTTGTGAGATGTAAGGTGATTCAAAAGTCACAGGACGTYATTTTATTTTGTTTCAAAAAGAAAAAATTTCATATTTGAATGATGGCCTATATCTTTCAGRCTATGTCCAGAACATGGCCGTCATATTGGATCAAAAATAAGAGGGTGTCCTGTGACTTTTGACTCACACTTTACACTGAACGTAACAAAAACTGCTAAGATTTGAACTGAATTCAGTTAAATTCTCATTCAGTTAYAGAGTTTGATCTGTTCTGCCGTGCAGGCTGAGTTTGCATAAATTGACTTGAAATAGAGATCTGTTCAGTTAAACTGTGAGGACTAAATTAGAGTACATTAGGTTGGAGTTAAAATCCTAATTAAAAGTCGTTAACAAAGACAGCAGGCGACACGCAGGAGGCCTTCATGTTCCTCACCACCTCACATGTCTCCACTCTGGTTTAAGTTGCTGTCGGAGCAGAAAGAGGGTCTTTGTAGGCCACATCCAGAGGTCCACAGACGCACAGGATGCCTGATACTTCACTGTTACCCTGTGTTACATCATCATGCTGTGTTGGTGGTTTTCTGCAGAAGTTTTGGGTTTTTATAACAAAGGAAAAAGCAGAGAGGATATAGAAGTCTCAAATTCACAAAAGCTATAAATAAAGGAGCTTCCTCTGCAACTGTTACAGTGGGGAGGAAYGGGGTGTCCTGCTGAGCTGGATGAGCCGTGAAGACGAGATTGATGTCGGTGAAGGCGCCTGCCTGGATCAGGTCTATCTTTCCTCCAATGGCCCCCCCTCTGCGGGAGTTCCCAGAACAGTAATCTGGAATAAAAAGTCTTCCGTCATCTGYCATTAACATCCAGTTTCTACGTGCCAGCGGTGCATAATGATTCAACAAAGTTAACTTTCTTTGTCAAGTGGGTTAAAGTTCACCTTCTCTCTAAAAGTTTCATTCAAAGGCCCACTGGCAGGACTTTCTAATCCGGTTCTCTCGTTAACTTTAATCTTTCTTTTGTTATTTTTGATCAAATGAAACTTAAAACAACTTTTCTTTTTAACTCTTTTCACTGCTCGGTTAGCTCGGCTACACTGTCTGTTAATTTTTAAAAACAAGCATCAAAGCAAACCCGGAGGCAGCCTTGTCT